ATCAGCCTCGAAGGTGCGCAGAGGCGATCCTAAGTCAAGAGGTGATTTTTTAATAGGCTCAAGCGGGAGTTGAGGGGGGGGAGGAGGAGGAGGAAGAAGACGTTCATAGTGGGTGTACCAATGACCATGTCTGAAAGATTGGATAGGATGTTGACGATGTAGAACACTTTCGGTCTTTATCAAAGGTTCAATCAAATAAACGTGTTGCCAAACTGTCGAGATTTCCTTAGTCAGTGTTCACGGCGACTGTACATGCGAATAGGCGATTAGGCGAATGAGCGACTAGGCAAGTAGATTATTAGGCGAGCAGGCAAATAAGCGAAAGAGAAGGATACGTATTGATTTGTTGCTCCGCCAACTGAGCGATCGTCTTATCTCCTGCTCGACTAATCGCACTCGCCTAATCGATACGTATCCCTTTCCTTATAGACTAATCGCCTAATCGCCTACTGTCTCTAGAAAGTTGTCTATGAGTTAACCGATTGAAGAAATTTTGGAGCAGTTTCACGCTGGAGCGACCTAGGCCGGTAGACCTCGAGCTCGACGGTGATGGCAGATGACGTCCTATTCTAGGGACGGTGAGGGCCTGCTTTTGCCTATGGAGATTGTCTGAGCAACCCTCAGACGATTTTGCCGCAAAACTACCATGAACAGTGGCACCCTGCGCGACGAAAACTTTGATGTTATTTTTTAAAGGCACAATCCGCGATCAAAATCGCGATGTGCTCATTTTCCTTGAAAATGGAACAACAGGTGTGAAGGGGACAGCCAGAGAGCATGTACGATTGCCAACTCTGAACGCTGCCTTGGCTCGTCACTGAAATACGTTTTTGTGCGATGTATGACGTTAGGTGGTGGCGTAGGGACAAGAAACACCAAATTCTGTGCTTCGGTGCGAGGGTCAAATCTCACATTAATTGCGCCCAGGCCAACCAAGCCTTCCATCCTCTCGGGGTCTTAAATGGTACCAGACCTGACACCTTTCCGCGAGGATGAAAGCCCGTCTTGTACATTGGCTGGCCCCCGCAAGTCATTGTATAGGCCACATCGCATTCAAATGCCACTACGAATGTACAAATGGAAGTAGAATGCGTGCCGCATCCCCGAAAGGGATTGATCAACGGCAAATGCTTTATCTTTTAGCTTTATTGTGTGAATTTGCTTACGTTTGCTTTATGCAACGCCGTAAACAGTAGACAGTAAACAATAAACAATCCGGAGGGCGCCGCTCTAAACCATTTGCCGCGAGTCTGTTTTGAACAAAAAGGTCATGTTGAGGATATCGTCGATCTCCAGGCAACCGTCTACTGAATGAGTGCAGGGTCTCTAAGGAATATCGCATAGTTTCTGTCCGTCCGCCAATGACTGTATTTTATGGTCAGTAATTCGTTCGCCAGCGCGATTTTCAGCGTTTGCATCTTTTTGACTCAATTCCACTTGGAGCAATCACCAGGTGAGTGAGTCGACGGCCTTCAAAACTACTGCCTCCGAGCGAATACGCTAATTTTAAGTTTTGGTTTTTCATGTTCTTCTAGACATTACTTTCATGGACATGGACATTGGTAAGTTAACGGTAATTACTTGGGTACGGAAAACCCTGTAGCGTGAAAGAAATTTTCTAGCCATCACGACTCTCCCTCCTCTTCTAACAATCTCATTTGAGGTCTATTGGGCCCCAGCCGGTTATCTCACTGACAAAATCCACACCAATTCAACTTCAAGATGCGAAGAATTTGAATAAATCATTATAGTTCCAGAAAAGAGATCTCGTGGTTAGATATATAAGTCCAGAGGATAGTAAATCCGAAGGACAAGTTAACTTACTGGAATGCCGTCTCAGAAGTGTGGGTTAACGTGTGCATCTTCAGGTCATTACGACGAACGAATGCTTTTCCACATGTTTCACAAACGTACGGTCGTACGTTCGTGTGCACGGAGCGAATGTGGGCTGTCAGTGCCTAAATGTAATTCTGAACATTTTCAAAGAGGAGTAAGTGCAGTGACTAAAAAGGATAAGTCAGAATTAAAATATAAAAACTAGCAGCCTAATCATTATCGTTTCTATAATTAGAAGCTATTATTGATCAATTAAAATTCATAAGAAATTCATAAAAATGAACAACTAAAAATTACATAAAAAAATTCACAAAAAATGAACCGTTTTTGAATCAAAAGCCTGAGTACGGTAACGAAGCTTCCTCGCGCCTTTCAGTGAGGGAGTTTTCTTATGCCTCTTAATTCTATTAGAATATGCTATTTAAAAAAATTTATGAATTTCATATCAAATCAATCAATAATAATCAATAGCGCCGTCTCAACTTCTCTGAATGAATCTTGGAAGCTAGGCACTAAGCCAAATTACCCCAGTTTTCACAATAGCCTGAGGTAGATAAGTTGAACGTGATGTAAGGTCCCTGAGCGAGGGAGTGGGATGAAAATGCTGACCATGAAAAGGGAGTTCACACTGCATCTCCAATCCCAAGGAGCGACAGTAATCCTACAGTATCTCTCCATCAGTGTTAATTCTTTGACTCCCAGAAGGACACATCTACATCCAAGCACCATTTAACGATTCTGTTCAAGCCGTGGGTGCTCATTTGAAGACCGTTTCTTACGAAAGTGACAAATGTTAATGGAGAAAAGGACATGTATAGTTTCTATTCGAGTAAGACTCGCTTCCTAAAAACTCGGCGCCCTTGTCAATTCAAAATTCGGAGAGTCGGGATGGCACATAGTACGTGTCCCTTCAGTAGTCAAAGGGTTCATAACTAGGAATAACATTATTGACCGCCACAGACTGCAAAAAAAAACAGTCGCCTAAGGAGAGGTTTTAAGACAGCAGACTAAAACTTGCCTTGCTACATTTGTAACCTGGATGGCCGCATCCCTCATAGGGGCACATGTGGAGATGATTTTGATGGACCATTTGCACATGACGTCGCAGTCCTGCAAGGGTATGCTTTGGAGAACATAGTCGAAGACGAGTATCGATATTTAACGCCTACCTCCTCTTCGACCAAACTTCTGGCCACATTCTTCACACACAAAATTGCGCTCTTTCCTATAACATCGTTTTCTCATAAATAAGGAAATTATTGATAAGCAACGAGTGCTTCAGAGTTCCACTTACAGATGTTGGATGGATATGTGTTCTCGCAGCTGAAAAGCAGACGCAAACCGTTTGCCACATTCCTCGCAGTCAGTGGGCGGCTAAAAGTAAACAAATATGATCAAATGAAGCAGTTCTCATGTGAAAAAAGCTCTATTTTTATGTAAGAACAACATCATGTGAAAGTACAGAGGTAGAGTAGGGAGTCTTATTTGTGGAAGTGGTCGTGAGGATGAAATGAGTGGACGTTGAGAAAAATAAAGGATTGCAAAGAGCAAAGGAAATAATGAAATTTGAGATGGATAAGAATGACCAGAAAGAGGAAGTAGGAGGGTAAGGCGCTAGTTCCTTGCACCTCTCCGCTACAAATAAACAACCTCCCATTCCTCGGGCCAGCAAAAATGCACTTGTCCCTGGGAGGATGAAAACAGTGGTAAGTTCCTTTCAGCTGATCCACATACTATTGCTTGGGCCAAACTGCATCGTAAT